AAGAGCTCTAAACTCTTCACAATATCGCATCGTGTGCGAACCCTTGCATTTAAAACACGACAACGACGACCTTGAATGCGACTGTAACTTCGACTGCGACCTCGACTGCGACGACGGCACGACTAAATGTTTTGAAAGCGACTCAGAACAAATCTTCGACTGGCAAATAGAAGATTTTACGGACGACAAAATATCAGAGGCAAGAGCGGGAGATGATGAAATATCCTTGACGCGATCCAACACTGGAACCTGCGAACTCTCAACTTGCTTGATACCTTTGGATGCCAAGATGTTTTGCTCTGCTTCGAGCAAAGAAAGCGCTTCATCTTGTTTTTCCAACTGATACGACAACGACTGCAACATTTGCATAATTTTATCTTCCATCTTTCAACGACAAATGACGCGACAAATCGATTAATAAGTTCCTAAACTTATTAATCTTATCAAATAAAATGATGTCGTCCCGGGATCGTATGATGCTCTTAAATAAAATCGAAAATACTACCAGATTGATGTTGATGACAATATTTTCAATGCGATTTTATTTCTACAATTATTAAATTCAAAACGTTATAAACATTATAGAAAAGGCGACAAAATAACTCACGATAAGATGACGACTTCACACTTGCACTGATCCCGACGACTTGATATTAAATGATTACAAAACCTAATAACAAACTAACATTAACGACGACTCAATTAAAATGTATAAGAAAAATTACCACGTGGAAATAAGATTAATTTCTTTCTTATTTCCTACAACTACGACGATTCTGACACTGAGAACTGAACTAAAAATATATGAAAATTAACTAACTAATAACTGACTAAATTTAACAATCCTTACAACGACTATTTGAACGACTTTAACTAATTTTACATCACGACAACTAAACTTGATCCTTTCATCACGAGGATCCGACAATAATGAATGTGAAACAAAATCATCTGTTCTTTTGTTCACGATAAGGACTTTTTGGGATCAGCGCAAGTTACGTCACGGCAAAATGAACTTAAAATTGCGCCGCACAAAATGTAAACATAAAGTGCGAAACGCAAAACAAAAATATAAATTCAGAAATTTAATTTATATTATTTAAGCGAAGTTGTTCGCTTGTCCATGACAACACTTAACCATATGAAAAGTGCTTCGGACAAAATATTCATAAACGAATCCTTAACAGTTGATGAAAGATCTTTATTATACAGCACCAAATTGTTCGCAAGAGAAAATAATTTCATGTTTGTGTGGTACTGCAACGGTGCAATTAGATAAGTTCCAAGGATCATTTAGAAGAGATAAAGAATGAAAATATCATTTTATTATCAGAACCAGAGTTGGGATTTGACTGACTGACTGACAGACATTGACTTGTCAGTCAGCCAGTCAAACGACTTGAGCGGAACATTTATATGAACGTTTCCCAACAAACGAATATTTTTGTTCGCGATTTTGACTGACTGACTGACTGACTTAAAGACATTGACATGTCAGTCAGTCAGTCAATCGAGTTGAACGGAACATTTGCCCATCTCTGATCAGAACGTGAGAGGCCTACGAACGAAAACCAACGAGATATTTCATGCATTTGAATCATGCAATCAATACTTCAGTCGATTATCAAGCACAGAATCATCACAAGCAACAAATTTCGCCTAGATTGAGTTTTTTTCTACGCTGTTGGAATGTATGTTGGATGAGGGAGTAACATGGAGCTTGCTTCCAATGTACATGAACCAGCAGCCTTTTTCTCAATCAAACACTGATACATTTATAAAAACTTTAAAAAAATTAATGCCAAACAAATTTGACAAATTTTGTGAAAACATATTGACTTATGATTACAAATATTGTTAAACATTTATCTTACGATGCAAAACAAGTACAAAAGTCGAGTTACAAAAGCTTTATGTAATAATTAAAAAATTGTTAACGACAATCATTTGCTGAAGCTTAAGCGAAATGTCAATGCAGCTTAAATGCAATTAATAAAATGAAAATAAATAAATATATCTAAGCATCATATTTACAGCACATTCTTGTAAGTTTTTTCCTAACTTCCTAGTTGTTTTGTTATATATAAAAGTGTCACTAAGCCAAATATACTTATATAGACATTTGACTTTAGAACGTATGACATATCATCTTTTATTCGATACGAACATAACATATTTGGCGACGAGTAAAACGGAAAAAGTGCAGAAAAAGTTAATTAAATTAAGTGCAGTGCAAAAAAACGATTAAAATTAAATAAATTAATTAAAAATACAAGTCTTATTTACAAAATAAGTAGCAAAAAAGCTAAATTTGTGATCTTAATTTCTAAAAGCACGTTGTTTAAAAAAATGCCGGATGAACAAAAAATGAAGCGAGTGTATCGCGAACATCTTCAACGCAAGTTTCTCAACTATTAGGATCCATAGAACCTTTCGTAGTCGGAGAAGATTTCGAGATTTATCTACGTGTCGATGATTTTATGATTTTAAATGGAATCAATGAAGACAAAAGAAAAGTGGTGCTGTTAGTTAACCTCATCGGTATTACGGCACTAGTAATTGTACATACTTTAGGTTCGTCTGGTATGTTTCAAACAATGTGCTTTCACGAATTAAAATCGCAATCTAGCTTTTTGCTACTTTTTTCGTTAATAAAACTTATATTTTAATTTAGATAACTTATTAAATGTTAATAGTTTTCTATGCACTGTATTTAATTTAATTAACTTTTCTGCTTTGATAGATTTGGTACATCTGATATTATGTTGAACAAAATAGGGAAGTTTTTAGGCTTTTTTCAGACTGTTAAATTTTATTATTTCTCGACTAGTTTCGAACGCTGTATTGGTTCATCTT